ACCATCGAGAGCATCCTGACTGGTTGCATCACCGCCTGGTATGGCAACTGCTCGGCCTCCGACCGCAAGGCACTACAGAGGGTAGTGTGTACGGCCCAGTACATCACTGGTGCCAATCTTCCTGCCATCCAGGACCTCTATACCAGGCGGTGTCAGAGGAAGGCCCTAAAAATTGTCAAAGACTCCAGCCACCCTAGTCATAGACTGTTCTCTCTGCTGCCGCACGGCAAGCGGTACCGGAGCGCCAAGTCTAGGTCCAAAAGGCTTCTCAACAGCTTCTACCCCCAAGCCATAAGAATCCTGAACAGCTAATCATGGCTACCCGGACTCTTTGCACCCCATCTTTTTACGCTGCTGCTACTCTGTTAATTATTTATGCATAGTCAGTTTAACTACCCACATGTACATATTACCTCAACTATCTCAACTACCTACTGTTATTTTATTTTACTTCTGCTCTTTTTAAATTCCTAAACACTTTTTTGTTGTTTTATTTTACTTTTTTATTAAAAAATAAATGCATTGTTGGTTAAGGGCTGTAAGTAAGCATTTCACGGTAATGTCTACACCTGTTGTATTCGGCGCATGTGGCAAATAAAATGTGATTTGATTTGAATTACCACTTATTGTTTTAAATAAATCGTTACAGTTGTTGGTTAGCTAGTTAGCGAATTTTAGACACATTTGCATTGACATGAAATCAGTCAAAACACCTCAAAACAAGACATGGCTATCAATAACATGCTGAAATAAGCCGCTTCTGATTTTTCAACTCAGCTATCCAGCTTTGTTTTGTCAACAGATAGCTAGCTAACTGAGCTGACGACCAAAAGTAGCTAACGTCATATTAGGCTTAAATTAGCTAGCTATCTTTATTAGTCATTTTTTTAGCATATTTGGACAGTACTTGATTAGACAGTAATTGGTTAGTTGGTGATACTTTGTCGGGTGCTGAGCTGAGCTCCAGCAGCTGGATTCAGCGTCCAGATAGCTAATCAATAAAAGTACTGTCAAAACCCTGTTAATATAATTTGCTAGGTTGCTAATGTTAGCAGCACTGCTAGCTAGACTGGGTAGTCCCTAACGTTAGTTAGTTAGCTTAAAGTTATCGATCAGTGCAGCATTTGAGTCAACATGTTGAAACGTGTTACTCGAATCTGGTTTACTGTGAGGTCAATAACTCTGAATAACATCATCATGGGCTAACAAAATGTGCTACGGTACTAGCAAGCTAACAAAGTGGACCTCCGGTTCTCCTTCTGATCTTTGCGCTCCCTCCCTCAGAGAATGAACGCCCCAAAATATAATTTATTTGGACGAATCAAAAATGACTTTGGAAAACCACTTTTGGCACCGTCTCCTAAAGTGCCACCGTATACATACAGAAATGCTGGTTTTTAGGCAGCACTAAAAAGGCTGGGCAGGCAGAGGGCTCCTGTTTGGTGTATTCATTGCAGTGTGTAATGCAGTGTAGCCTAGTTTGTTTTACACCATTTCAGCAGGGCAAAAGACTCGGTGATGTCAATGGTTGACAAGTTGAATCAGGTTTTGCTAGTTCTGGAATAGATGAAATACATGCACCAGCTGGGGGTCCTGAGTTTCGAGAACCACTTGGTTAGCCTACCAGATCAGGAAAAACGTTGGGCCCCAGGAAATCCCCCATTGGGCGCCACATTTTTTTGTTTTTGTTGAAATGTTGACTAATTTATTGCGGTATTGTGTTCGGAAGAAAGGTGCAATCATCACCTTGTAAATTATGATTAGGGGATCTATTCAATCTGTAAATCTGAAGCGTTATAAATTCCTTAATATAAATGTAAAGGTAATTTACGATTGAGCCGACATGCAGCGTTTACCGGTCTCCGCTAAAGCGGAAACATTGCCTTTAAATTTCAATCACGCTGTAAAGCTGAAATTCCACGACGCGGATTTAATAGAGCCCCAGGGGCTCAATTCAACCCAACCCGCATTGCAGTATTTGGGCAGTAGCTCTTTTTCCAATGGTCAAATTAACTCACAGATTGGGGGATACTGTATAAAACCCTACAACTACTACCAGGGCGACCCCTCTCACAGGGTGACTGCGCCACCAATCAGTCATATCAACTGGGGAAAATACAATGAGTTGACATGACCACCATTGTCATTTATTATGATGATGTAGCTACGAATATAAAACGTATAATCATCATAGCCTACTAGCTTCTTCGCAAGAACACATACACGTGTATGAAACAGGAAGGAAAAACGTTGGAATTTGGTCACGTGTGGAAATGTGCCTTACTGCCTTTCGAATTTTGTGTAACTAGTCTAGTCAAGGAAGCGTCATGAAAAAATATATTGTCACACTCCACTTACCAAGACCATTAGGTGCGCCGTCACCTGATTTTATAGTATGCCTTGATGTGGTACCACAGAGTTTCTAAACCCAGAGGCGCAACATGGTGAGACTTCCGTGAACGCTTGCTAAACAGACCAGTTCATTTTCTCAATCTAAAAAGGCACAACCTAGATTGTAGTTGAACATGTTATTACTCCAACCTTGTTAAAGTTATGAACTGACACGGTTTTGTTTTCGTCAAAAAACAACTTTTTATGGAAGGAGTGCCCGAGTTGACCCAATTACTTATGCATGAGTTTAACGCTGCAATATTTAACTTTTTGGGTGACCCGACCAAATTCACATTAGACATTAGTGTTATAGATCTATCATTCTCATTGAAATCAATATGCTTCCCGTTGTTAAGTTTAATTTTTGTGTCTTTTACTTTTGGTTTTGTACACCAGCTTCAAACAGCTGAGAATACAATATTTTTGGTTATGATTCTCTACACTATACTTGCTTGTTTTGTCACATAAACTGAAATTAGGCAAACTATTAGAATTTTAGGAAATGCATAGTGCATCTTTAACTAGCCGAAGTCGCCATGTGATCAGGGATTTCTATTGGAGAAGCAGTTTTAGCCTATCTACACACTGTACTGTCTTTGGTGTTACCACCCAGCACATCTAGAAGGGAGCGTTATTGTGCTTTCAAGACAACTGGGAACTCAGGGGAAAAAAACGAGGTCAAATCATGACGTCAGTGATTTTCAGGTCGGAAAGTTTTTTGCTCTAGAAAGAGGCCTGAGTTCCCGAGTTGGATGACCGTTCAAAACGATTTTTTCCCAGTTGTCTTGAATGCACTGAAGTCAGAAGTTGGGAGATTTCCGAGTTCCGCAGCATTATTTCATACCGAACCCCTCCCCTGAGATTAAGTAAGGCCTCTACATCATAATTTCAATGGTAGAGTTGAACCGCTAGGGGCGAAAAGAGCTAGATTTACTACTAAAATAACAAAATAAATAACTTTTGCAACAAATTGTCAAAATGAAGACCAGAATTGACGTGTTTGATCACTATAACTATGCCTAAAAGCATAAAAATTTTAAATGGAAAAATGTCAATCACGCTGTAAAGCTGAACTTCCATGATGCCGATTGAATAGAGCCGTAATTTGAAGAGTGCTACAAAAGTCCATAGAGGATTAAGAAAGTTTGTTTCATAACAAAAATCCTTGCTAAATATTATAATAAAAATAGAAACGGGCTCGACTCCACCTTAAATTTAAAAATCGGGTGCTGGATCCCCTCGTAATAATCCAAAGAACAGAACTAGGACAGCACTCCGGTAAATAAACGTCAATGTATTCGTGCGGCAATAAAAACTATTATAATAAACCAGGCGTGACACAGAGCGATGGATGTGGAATTATTATCACGCCTTTATTAAATCATTGCTAATCCAAAAAGCAGACATTCAGCAACAGTTGAACATTGTAGCAGCTGTAACAGAATAGGTCAGACAAGAGAGTAACACTAAATTGGGTGTTTTGAACATTTTAAACTCCACACCATCAGCTCTGAAGACGCCGTTTCACGTGTGGCTATGGACGCGGGCGTCTATATATTAAAGAGTTAATACATTTAAAATCACCAAGGTTTGAAGAACTCAGCGGCACCTTGCTTTACCAGAAACAACAAATCAACCAGAAAACAAAACATCAAAAAGAAAGAGAGAAGCGTGTCAAATCCAAAGGAAGGATGCACGGCCCTTTTATTGTTATTATTATTCATTTGGGTCAATACTGTAAATTGTGACATTTCATTGGAGAAGGAAGAACCAATCAGAAATCAGGATTATTAGAATTTAAGTTAGGGGTGGGGCCTCAACAAATACACCTTTTTGTTATTTTCTCTTTTCATCTGATTGGGTCACCAAGAAGAGAAACCAACGCAAACATTAGTGTATTCCCCTTCCACTCTAACTCCAGTCAAGACCTAGCCTGGTCCTTCCAGATCTACCTTCAGCACAAACAGATCTGGCACCCAGGCTAGTAAGGAGAATAGTAACTGACACAACAGGATTAGTTATTTTAGTTCACCATCCTACTGTGAAGCCTCCCTCCTGCCTCCCTTTTGAAAAGCCCAATAATTTGTCATGACAAAAAAAAAAAAGACCTCATCTTAAACGTCTTATAAAACAAACCCCCCCAAAAAAGAAAAACACACGTCACTCTTAATACGCTGTGATCGAATCTCAAAACAGTTTTTTTTTTTTTTTTTTTTAAGTTACTTGAAGATTGCAACCCAGACATTTTATGTGGGGTATATTGAGAAAAGCATGGGGTTTGTTTACCGTGTGTATTAAATGTTACAGCAACATAGTCATAATGCACCAACTGACTCTTCACTCAGACGACGCATATATAAGATCTGCTTTAAAGAGTTCTAGTTGAAGGTGATGCAGAAGGACAAAACCCTGGTGGAGAACAGGAAACGGATGTGATGTGATGTGTCTGTGTGTCTCTGTTACGGTAATGCGTGTGTATGTCAAGCTAGGAGAAGTTGGGGAGCGAGGGTTTTCCCGGGTTGAGAGTTGCCCCATGGGAGGTGCTGTTAGCAGGACCAATGTGTGGGGCTCCTGTCTTGGGGGGCAGGGTGGTCTGGTACTGAATGCCATCAGGGCACAGAGTTCAACAGGTCTTGCAGGAAGAGGTCTGGGTCCGGAATGTCAGAGAGAAGTCCTGGAAACAAAATATTAAAACAGAGTTAGAATCTGTCTGAATCTCACACACAATGTACACAGTTTCTGTTTCAGGTTTTGGTCATTTAGAGGGTATAACTATTCACATTTAATTAACACAATAAACCCTGAAAGAGTAGAAAAAAATAGAGGCAAAAAGGATGCATTTGATACTACAGTATGTAACCTTCGCAGTAGCAATCGAAGTGTACTTTACACATATGCCTGGCAACACTGACCTACGACATCCAGGAACTCGGAGAAGGATTCAGCGGGCATGAGTTCTTCCTGGTAGGCCTTGAGCACGCGCTCCGAGGCCTCGTAGATGGGCATGTCGTTGTGTCGCACGTACTCTGCCAGCGAGAAGGACCAGCCTCCCTCCGTGTTGCTGGTGGGTACTTTCTACAGTGGGAGAAAAGCCGGGGAGAGAGAGGTCTGAGTGAACTGAACACTGAAGAAACACAGTTCACACCCATGTTGTACATCTTAAATGTACAAAGCATTTGACACAATGGTTGTGTTACTAAGAGTATCTGCACAATTATTGTCACACGACCGTTGTGTGATGTCCAAGTAAAAATTGGTTTTGTTGGTAGGATAACTCCCTCCTACCCTGAACATGTCATAGATGAGCTCCACCAGGCCCCAGAAGAGGAGAGGGGAGCGGTACACTGCATACTCCTTGGACTGTTTATCTGTGAGTCTGGAGAGATTAAGAAGATTAGAAAGAATTCACAGACACAGACACACTGCAGCTAAACCCCGAAGATAATTATATTTGATCAACACAGTATAAAAGCTCACAGAAGAATCTTACAACTGACTAGATTTGACTCCAATACTGATAAAAAATATTGAGTCAAGGTCGTGGGTTTAATCCTCGCAGGGATCGCAAACACATACTAAAACGCATGCACTCGGTGAACCGCAGGTGGATAAAAGCTGTGATAAATGGCCGAAGATCTTCTAAAATGGCATATCAAATGGAAAAAAAGAGAAAAGTTCTGGAACAGTTTCTTACTTGTTGGCGAAGACAGCGGAGACCTTGCGTGCGTGCACGGTGACGAGGAGCCTGCGTAGGAAGGTGAGGCGTGTGTTCATCCAGCGTTCAGGAGACAGGATGTGCATGGCCAACACGGTGTAGTAGTGGGGACCGTCCACGTCACAGCTGCTCTCCACCCACTTCTCACACGGCTGCTCCAGGAAACACTGCAGGTTCTTCTCCTCACGACTAGTAGCCCGAGTACTGCAGACGACCAAAAAAGACAGAGCCATAGATATATAGTGTGATTGAGGGAGTGACAGAGAGAGAGAGAGAGAGACGGAGAGAGGACAATTTCAGTTTCATTTCAGAAAAACAAACATTAAAACATCTTGCCACCCACCGCCCACAACAGAGTCACTTCTGGATGATAACTGTGTGACCATCTCAAACATCATTTTAGTGATCTCCTATGTTTGCGTATATAAACAAATAGCTCCAGACGTGTTGAGGAAGAAAGAGAGAGGTAGAGAGACTCAGAGAGAGCCAGAAATATAGATGATGTAATGTAACGTCTCCATACGTGTTGAGGACGTAGAGCACGGTGTGGATGATGTAAGGGATGAGGTGGATGTTGCTCTCCCGTCCTCCCCCTCCCGTGTCCACACTGAAGGACTGCTCCGTGGCGAAACGCAGGAACAGGAGCTTGGTGTCGTGGATGTTGAGCTGGTAGGTGGGCTCTCTCTGCCCCGTACACTCCTGCAGATACGTGTTGTGCCTGGGAGAGAGAGAGAGAGAGATACAGTAGGACTTTAAATGGGAGTTCTGGGGATTTGATGAACGTGAAAAGATAATAATAAAAACATAAAATGCCATTTAGCAGACGCTTTTATCCAAAGCGACTTACAGTCATGCGTGCATACATTTTTTTTTTGTGTATGGGTGGTCCCGGGGTTCGAACCCACTACCTTAGCGTTACAAGCGCCGTGCTCTACCAGCTGAGCTACAGAAGATGCTCATATAGAAATAAACAGCGAGCTGTGACTGGTCTGGTATCTCGGGCTTGTAATAAGGGAGGTTAGCAAAACATTTTAGCTACTTTTTGATTGGTTCTCATATCCACGCTATTTGCATGCGCAACGCCCTATTCATGATATTAACGTCAAACGACGTCTGAACTCCGAAGGTTTGTGACAGCTAGTTACTGTGTGTGTTTGGTTATCCTAGAAGGGATGTAGCTCAGTTTGCAACGCCAGGGTTGTGGGTTCGATTCCCCAGTATGAAAAATAAAAAATAATGTATGCACTCACTAACTGTAAGTCGCTCTGGATAAGAGCGTCTGCTAAATGACTAAAATGTAAATGTAAGGGCTGTCTGGAACCGGAAGGGCTGGGGTGGTCCTATGTAAAACAAATCATGATTAGTTAAATTCGAAACGGGGGTATCCAACCAGCGTAGGGTGCAGTCTGAGGCCACAGCCCCTTCATTATCATTGCTTTGTGCCGATACATCAAAGCAGACGTTCCAGACTCTCGAGTCTGGTGTTAGCAAGACTAGCACAACTTCTACTGTCAAGCCAAAAGCTTTGTTACTGTTTTCAGAAAGGCAACACGTTCTTCTGGCACATAACACAATTAAAGTATCTGTTGCTACAATTCCAAGTGAGTTGGTCGTACCTGGCCAGGCAGGTGGCGAAGGCCGATTCGGGGACATGAGGCCCCCAGACAGGAAGCAGTCCATTGCACTTGGTGTTGGCGTTCTGCAACGCAGCACTTTCCCACTCCTCACGCCCGCGAGCAAGCCTGAATAGAGGACGGAGAGAGAGAGAGAGAGAAAGCAAAAGAGAGAGGAAGAGAGAGCTCGGTTACATGCACACACAATACTACGATTATTGTGGATAATCAGATTAATATAATAGTTTGTTTGAAACTGACAGTAGCGAGGTGGCAGTCGTAGTGGACTATGTTAAAGTGCGACACAGTGCTGTATCCCTGCTGCTTGTGTGTGTGTGTGTGTGTGTGTGTGTGTGTGTGTGTGTGTGTGTGTGTGTGTGTGTACTAACCTGACAGCTGCGAGGTGGCAGTCGTAGTGGACTATGTTAAAGTGCGACACAGTGCTGTATCCCTGCTGCTTGCGGGGCTTGTTCTCAAAGTCCTCCAGGGCCACGCGCTTCGTAAAGGTGTAGATTCCCAGCACCTTGGTCGGCTAGTGGAGGACACAGTACAAAAGATAAGGAAATATATGAGTTAACATTTGATAAAGATACATTGAAATATAACTGACACATGAAGAAAGGCTTACATTTGGAATAAAGGAACATTTTACATTTCATATGAAAATAAACCAGTTTTAGTCACAGCCAAGAGTGGAACATTTGACCAATTCAAATTTGTAAAAGATGAAGGTAGAGTTGTATAATACAGTGTTTCCCCAAAGTGAGTGTGGGGAGCAGCAGGGGTCCAGGTAGACAGCGGCGGTCTGCCCATTAGGGCGTTAGGGGCGGCGTCCCACTTGAGAATGATAAAAAATATGTTTTAAATGCTCAAAAAGATATTGTTTAAAACAAGCTGTTCAGTTACTTACTACTCCGCCCCTCAGTGACTGCCAGTAACAGAAGCTCCGCCTCCTCCATAGGCCGTGAGAACATTGCTTGGATTGTTTTGCCAGCTATTTGCTATGAGGGGGAACTGCCACCAATGAAATCGCAGGATTTCAGAGCATAGATTATAACAGTACAAAGTAAATGGACCGTCCTGGGGGCGCTCAAATGTGCGTCCGTTCAGTCAGAACTTCTGGGTCCGCTGTAGTCTCCATCCAAATGAGTCTCTCGCGCCAGACGGCTTACCTCCGTACGTGAGACTAGATTTGCTCTCAGGTACAGATGGCGCTAAAGCAAATTGTAATTAACTTGTAAATAAATAATCGTAACAGTCATGGGAGCCTGGGACCTGATCAACTGGACAACTACTTTCAACAAGAGTCGGAAGGACAGAGGGATACACTAGCTAGATCCTCTCATCATGGATCTGTTAGGACAAAAAAAAGCATGGCCAATTTTACTGTTTCCTTCATGTTGTTCATCAGGTTCTACTGTAGCTAGGCAACAGGGCATCACAAAGCATGATCCAATTAATTAGCCAGCTACAGAAATAGTTAATTAACCAGTTATCTACCATTGATAAGCAGCTAGCTAGCTATAGCTAGCTGGTAGCTTGCTAGCTAGTTAGCTCCCATGCCAATTTCAAGTCTTTCTAAAAATTAATATCTGACTAACTCAGAAATATGAAGTTATTTTTAAAAAGAAAGTTACCTGGCTAGCGCCTCATGCTTTGTGACATTAATGTTAGCTAGCTATCCCCAGTTAGATCATAGTGTTTTCACTTATTGCATCTACATGCTTGTTGCGTTCTCCCTGGTGCACTCGTTCATTCACGACGTGAGCTAGCTACTCGTTCTAAATAGTATAATCTGTTCCAAACAGTGGCAGCATGTGCACCAGTGGTCATTCTGTTTTTGACATGCAAAAGTGAAATAGGTGTATTTATGCGGTTGTTCAAATGCACAGATCGCTATATATATATATATTTTCGAAGAAACAACCGGTAGTTCGAAAACGTGGCATCGTATTTCTGTCATGTTGCTTTGTCGACAACTCCAACCACCTCACGCCCCGGGTATTCGGCCAATCAGCGGCACCATTGCAGGTAGGTTGCAGGTTAGTACATGTACACTGAGTATACCAAACATTAGGAACACCTTCCTAATATTGAGTTGCACCCCCTTGTGCCCTCAGAACAGCCTCAATTCTTCGGGGCATGGACTCTACAAGGTGTTGAAAGTGTTCCACAGGGATGCTGGCCCATGTTGACTCCAATGCTTCCCACAGCTGTTTCAAGTTTGGTGGATGTCCTTTGGGTGGTGGACCATTCTTGATACAAACGAGAAACTTTTGAGCATGAAAAACCCAGCAGCGTTGCAGTTCTTGACACAAACCGGTGTGCATGGCATCTACTACCATACCCCGTTCAAAGGCACTTAAATCTTGTGTCTTGCCCATTCACCCTCTGAATGGACACATACACAATCCATGTCTCAATTGTCTCAAGGCTTAAAAATCATTCTTTAACCTGTCTCCTCCCCTTCATCTACACTAATTGAAGTGGATTTAACAAGTGACAAATATAAGGGATCATAGCTTTCACCTGGATCCACCTGGTCAGTCCATGTTATGGAAAGAACAGGTGTTCTTAATGTTTTGTACGCTTAGTGTATATTACCTGGAACTTGTATCCCTCTCTACAGATGCAGCAGGTCAGTCCTGGCTCCTCTATCAGCTCCTCCATCTGCTTCAACAACGACGTCTTGGTCACCACCTGGCCCTTCTCATTGGTCTGAAACACAGAACAGCCAGTCACCAACCTGGATTAGCTTCCTGTTTCTTAATTATATCAGGGCCTTGTTGGGAAGAAAGGAACATTTCCATAGAATCCTATTGGAATCTTTTCAAGACTCTCCAAGGAAGATTTTTCCCACAAATCTCAGGATCTCTAATGTGTCCGGCTGGGCTCAGAGAAAGCAGCATACTCAGACTGCATGCTGGGCTTTTTATCTATTGAATGCTTCGGACTGCGTACATCACCTCACTCCTCATCACCTATAGTCATGACCAGAAACCCACACCTGAACATTGTTTTCCAACCCCTCCACCTATGGTGCGGCAAACCTTATGCTCCCAGTCAGTAACCTACCATCGTGCCCAGAGCCTACCACCTACCTACCAGACCCAGTCAGTAACCTACCATCATGCCCAGAGCCTACCACCTACCTACCAGACCTAGTCAGTAACCTACCATCATGCCCAGAGCCTACCACTTACCTACCAGACCGAGTCAGTAACCTACCATCATGCCCAGTGTCCCCAGAGCCTACCGCCACCAACCTACCAGACCCAGTCAGTAACCTACCATCATGCCCAGAGCCTACCACTTACCTACCAGACCGAGTCAGTAACCTACCATCATGCCCGTGTCCCCAGAGCCTACCGCCACCAACCTACCAGACCCAGTCAGTAACCTACCATCATGCCCAGAGCCTACCGCCACCAACCTACCAGACCCAGTCAGTAACCTACCATCATGCCCAGAGCCTACCACTTACCTACCAGACCCAGTCAGTAACCTACCATCATGCCCAGTGTCCCCAGAGCCTACCGCCACCAACCTACCAGACCCAGTCAGTAACCTACCGTCATGCCCAGAGCCTACCACCTACCTACCAGACCCAGTCAGTAACCTACCATCATGCCCAGAGCCTACCACCTACCTACCAGACCCAGTCAGTAACCTACCGTCATGCCAAGTGTCCCCAGAGCTTTCTGTCTCATAGCCATGGCCATGCGTTTCTTCTCAGCCCGTGTCTCCCTGCGAGCAGCGTCTATCTTCAGGTTGACCTCGGCGTGCTCCCTCAGCGCCTCCAGAAGGTTCTCTGCCAGCGTCCCAATGCCCTCGTCACTAGACACCTGCTCCAACTTGTGAAGGTTAGTGATGGAGTCTGTCCCGATTAGCATCTGGAGAGAGACAGACAAGACGTTGTTCAGAAAAGTTTAGCACGGGCAGGAAATCGAACACTAAATTATATACATCATCCCCTCAATAACAGATGTCTGTTTCAAAACGTTTTGCTACGGTGTGCCCTACTGAACATGACCCAGATTTGTACCTGTGTAGGAGGGTGCTGGGTGGCCAGGCCTCGGAGCAGTCTGAGGATGAAGGGTAAAGCTGGACGAGACAGGAACTTCTTCCACACGTCAGCATCCAGACTGGAAGGTAGGAGAGGAGAGAGGTCAGTGTCGTTTCACATACTGTACACAGAGGAGAGAGGTCAGTGTCGTTTAGCATACTGTACACAGAGGAGAGAGGTCAGTGTCGTTTCACATACTGTACAGAGGAGAGAGGTCAGTGTCGTTTCACATACTGTACAGAGGAGAGAGGTCAGTGTCGTTTCACATACTGTACAGAGGAGAGAGGTCAGTGTCGTTTCACATACTGTACAGAGGAGAGAGGTCAGTGTCGTTTCACATACTGTACACAGAGGAGAGAGGTCAGTGTCGTTTCACATACTGTACAGAGGAGAGAGGTCAGTGTCGTTTCACATACTGTACAGAGGAGAGAGGTCAGTGTTGTTTCACATACTGTACAGAGGAGAGAGGTCAGTGTCGTTTCACATACTGTACAGAGGAGAGAGGTCAGTGTCGTTTCACATACTGTACAGAGGAGAGAGGTCAGTGTCGTTTCACATACTGTACAGAGGAGAGAGGTCAGTGTCCGTTTCACATACTGTACACAGAGGAGAAGGTCAGTGTGTTTCACATACTGTACACAGAGGAGAGAGGTCAGTGTCGTTTCACATACTGTAACAGAGGAGAGAGGTCAGTGTCGTTTCACATACTGTACAGAGAGAGAGGTCAGTGTCGTTTCACATACTGTACACAGAGGAGAGAGGGTTCACATAGTTGGGGTCGTTTCACTACTGTACAGAGGAGAGAGGTCAGTGTCGTTTCACATACTGTACACAGAGGAGAGAGGTCAGTGTCGTTTCACATACTGTACACAGAGGAGAGAGGTCAGTGTCGTTTCACATACTGTACACAGAGGAGAGAGGTCAGTGTCGTTTTTACATACTGTACCAGAGGAGAGAGGTCAGTGTCGTTTCACATACTGTACAGAGCCCTCATTGCAGTTGTTTTGGATATTGATTTTAATTAAATCCGTATTATTTGTTATCCAACTCTTTTTTTTCTTTTTTTTGAATAAAAACAAATGATCAGTGTTTAGAAAACCCTTTGCCTGGTCCCAGATCTGTTTGAGTTGTATAGACAATTACTGTGATCATTGCCATACCAAACAACAACCATAGGAGTTGGCTGTAAATCACAAACCAATCTGAGACCAGGCTACTTCGGGACAACTGTTGCCTTAGGAAGGGCTACAATATAAATATCAGTGTTTATAAAGGTAACAGGACTCCAAACACACACAGAGAAAACCCCACTACGAGGCTCATCCAGCTTACTTTTTGGCGTTGGGGATGTGTTTCTTCATGTAGTCCAGGGCACTCTGTGTGATGCCTTTCTGCAGTATGAGGTCTTTGAGTTGGTGTCCGTTGCTGTTGTTCTTGATGCCAGCAGTGATCTTACAGAAGCAGTCTATGAAGACCTTGTCGTCGGCACTGTGCTCCTCGTCGTACCTGGAAACACACCGGGACAAAAGGTTCAAACGTCACGGACATCATGTGAATAGAACCAACACTTCTAAAGAAAGACAAATTCACACTTTACTACTACTACTACTACTACTACTAAAACCAGTGAGGCGGCTCCATACTTGTCGAAGCTGCAGCATGGTTTGAATCTCTCCACCAGGATCCTCATCTTCTCCAGTTCTCCAAAGGACAGGTACGGTATGATGCGTAGGAGACCCTGCAGAACACTGGGGTTGGAACGGACAAACGGAGTGTTGATCTGATCCAGCAGCATCACCAGCTGGTCCTTGTCCCCTGTCAACAACAGGTTACCCTGGGGAGAGAGGCAACACGCTTTAAGCTTCATGGAACAACAAGCTAAGGGGAAAAAAATAATTGTACTTTCAGTAGTTTGGAGCCACCAACCAAGATTATTTCATCTGAAAACATTTGACAGCGCAAGCAGCCAGATGAGATGCATTTAGTTTAGACACAAAACATTTTAAAATGTTAAAAAAGCTTTTGGATGGTATTGTTTGACCAGGATAGTCCACTTCACAACACACTCGTAACGGTTTCCAAGGGAACAGACAGTTTTATATTATCCAGGGCCGACAGCCTCAGTCTCACCTTGTCCTCTGAGATCTCAGCATTGGCCTCATCCAGAATGATCTCCATAATGCTGAGGACCTGCTCTGCTATGGACGCTCCTCCACTGTCCTTACTCTCCTGCTCCGCAACCAACGCCTACGGAGAAAAAACAAACATGGCCACGCTCTGGTTCAAAATGCACTGAAATCATTTTTTTGCTGCATACCAAAAAAAAAATATCTAGTTTGAATCCTGCATCTTGTATCTGCATCACGTCACGTCACAGTGTTATATTACCACCTCAGTATGAATGTATATAGATTTAACAACTGAATTGTGGTGTATAAAATGAGTCTTGGACAGACAGGGCAACGTAATCTTCAGTCCTCACCAGGTTGAGTGTGCCCAGCATGACGTTGAGCGTGTTCATCTCTGGTTTGACCAGCTGCTGTCTGTTGATCTTCACCTTTACACAGTAACTGAACAGCTTCAGCAGGACCTGGGAGGGGACAGAGGGGAGGGGAGTGTTATTATATACTGTTTGAAATGTTAGTGTAATGGGGAAATTCTGAAATATGTCTTTAAACAGTGTCTTTGTACTGACATGACTGAGGCAAATGTGTATGTACATTTGTCAAATGTTTCCAAAAACATTTGATACCCTACCTCTTCAAAGAGTATCTTAAATACGGTAGTAACAAGTCATTGACTACAATGTAAATGTTGCATAATAATGGTAGTAACAAGTCATTGACTACAATGTAAATGTTGCATTTCCTCAATAAATAAATAACTAGAAACAATATATAATGTAGTCTCTGTTCCATGTACTACTCACAGTGAGCAGGTGTCTTCCCTGTTTGAAGTCCCTGATGCCAGACAGTCTGCTGAGCATACACTCCAGCCCCCCACACTGTGCCATCACCCCTGCCATCTTATAGACCTCCTCCTCATCCTCCTCTTCGTCTGTGGTAGAGTCCAGGGACTCTATAAACTCCTCGGTAGCGTCTCCAAGGAGACCCCTCATACGATAGATTATCCTCATTGGCTCTCCCTGACAGACAAAACAAACCGGGTTAACGCACTTCACAAACAAGCCTAGACAACCTCAAACCACTGTTTGGAAAAATCCCAGTTGGACAATAAATAGTGAAGAGTTTGTCACCTCGTTGGTAGGGCACCACACTTTCTTGTAAACCTCAGCCACAGGCAGGTCCAAACTGATGATTTTGTTGTTCACCAGAAGCTAGGAGAAACAAATAGCCAGGAAACCATTAGGTGAAGAACAGTCCCCCATCTTCTTCTGTTTCAACTCCAGGACAGCAATCCCCAACAGCACAGCAAAATATTACTTATGTGCAAGAGGTAGACGGTGTCTTGGACAAAAAGCAGTGAGCACAGCGTTGTAGCTACAGGAGAAATATGAGGTTTCCTACCTCCATGCCACTGTCGTCCTCTAGCAGGGCCACCAGGTCACAGTCCTGACAGATCTTGTTCTTGATGTCCCTCATCAGGGGTCCGATGCCTGGCTCGTTGCTGCTGTACGGGTTACCGGGCATACGGCCCTGCAGGAAGTCCTCCTGCTGAGGATCCTTCTCCAGGGTGACAAAGAACTCTGTCACCTCGTTCTCCTCCTGGAGGGGGAGGAAGAGCAGGAGGAGGGTAGAAGGTAGAGGAGGGTGTGGAAGAGGAAGAGGAAGAGGAGGAGATTCTGTTATTTTTTTTTTGCTCCCCATCTCCTCGCCTTTGAGAAGGTCCAAGGTCCCTCCCCTCGGGACCTCGCCAATGCGTTTTGAGAAGGAGGCGAGGAAAAGAGGATGCAAGGAATCAAGGAAAGAGGAATTGACCGATAGACTTGGAGTTACAGCAGGAACAGAGAAGAAGCCTCTTACGGGGTAGATGATGCTACAGAGTCTCTCAAAGATGAACACCGGCGTTCTGTAGTCATCCAGGTTGTATCTCTTGGCTGTCTCAATGCACACTGCCATGAAGGCCTTGGTCTCAGACTCGGTCCCTGGAGAATGAAAAAAAAAAAAAGCACACATTTCCACTCTGACACCACCGATTCCAGCACCGCATAGAAATATAGTTATTAGAATGGACATTTCTCATTCAAGTCAACGTTCCGTGATCGGTGGACCGGCGGCCATATTGAGTTTACTTCTATTTCTATGGTTCAAACGGATATGATCAACTCAAAGTGTGTATTTTGTGTGGCACACACCTGTGGTCAAGTCCTCCAGCATCTCCAGCAGCATGTAATGGGTCTCTATATTAACTAGCTTTATACCTGTGGTCATGTCCTCCAGCATGTCCTGGGTCTATATATTAACTAGCTTTATACCTGTGGTCATGTCCTCCAGCATGTCCTGGGTCTATATATTAACTAGCTTTATACCTGTGGTCACGTCCTCCAGCATGTCTAGGAGCATGTCCTGGGTCTATATATTAACTAGCTTTATACCTGTGGTCATGTCCTCCAGCATCTCCAGCAGCATGTCCTGGGTCTATATATTAACTAGCTTTATACCTGTGGTCATGTCCTCCAGCATCTCCAGCAGCATGTCCTGGGTCTATATATTAACTAGCTTAATACCTGTGGTCACGTCCTCCAGCATCTCCAGCAGCATGTCCTGGGTCTATATATTAACTAGCTTTATACCTGTGGTCATGTCCTCCAGCATCTCCAGCAGCATGTCCTGGGTCTATATATTAACTAGCTTTATACCTGTGGTCATGTCCTCCAGCATCTCCAGCAGCATGTAATGGGTCTATATATTAACTAGCTTTATACCTGTGGTCACGTCCTCCAGCATGTCTAGGAGCATGTCCTGGGTCTATATATTAACTAGCTTTATACCTGTGGTCATGTCCTCCAGCATCTCCAGCAGCATGTCCTGGGTCTCGTCGATGAGCTTGGTCCTCTGCACCACTAGTTTCCTGAGACACAGGTAGCCGTTCAGCACCGTGCCCACCAGACGACTCTTAAAGTAACGCTTGATGGACTCCACCTCCACAAAGGACGACAGCAGGCCTGGAAGACACAGGGGATAGGTAGCATATTATCATTGAAGCTTATCGTTTTAGGACATTTTCACATAATTCTAACAAACAAAAGTATCTGCATTAGATAAATATCTTGGTGAATCGACTAAAGCCAAGGTACACTACATGACCAAAAGTATGTGGACACCTGCTTGTCGAACATCTCATTCCAAAACTATGGACATTGATATGGAGTTGGTCCCCCCCTTTTGCTGCTATAACAGCCTCCACTGTTCTTGGAAGGCTTTCCACTAGATGTTGGAACATTGCTGCGTGGACTTGCTTCCATTCAGCCACAAGAGCATTAGTGTGGTCGGGCACTGATGTTGGGCGATTAGGCCTGGCTCGCAGTCGGCGTTCCAATTCATCCCAAAGGTGTTCGGGTCAGGGCATTTTGCAGGTCAGTCAAGTTCTCCCACACCGATCTCGACAAACCATTTCTGTATGGACCTCGCTTTGTGCACGGGGGCATTGTCATGCTGAAACAGGAAAGGGCATTCCCCAAACTGTTGACACAAAGTTGGAAGCACAGAATTGTCTAGAATGTATTGTATGCTGTAGCGTTAAGATTTCCCTTCACTGGAACTAAGGGGCCTAACCTGAACCATGAAAAACAGCCCTAGACCATTATTCCTCCTCCACCAAACTTTACAGTTGGCACTATGCATTAGGGCAGGTAGCGTTCTCCTGGCATCTGCCAAACCCAGATTTGTCCGTCGACGGTTAAGCGTGATTCATCACTCCAGAGAATGCCTTTCCACTGCTCCAAAGTCCAATGGCGACGAGCTTTACACCACTCCAGCCAACGCTTTGCATTGCACATGGTGATCTTAGGCTTGTGTGCGGCTGCTCGGCCATGGAAACCCATTTCATGAAGCTCCAGTCGAACAGTTCTTGAACTGACGTTGCTTCCAGAGGCAGTTTGGAACTCGGTAGTGAGTGTTGTAACCGAGGACAGACGATTTTTACGCACTGCACGCTTCAGGACTCGGCGGTCCCATTCTGTGAGTTTGTGTGACCTACCACTTCGCGGCTGAGCCGTTGTTGCTCCTAGACGTTTCCACTTCACAATAACAGCACTTACAGTTGACTGGGGCAGCTCTAGCAGGGCAGAAATTTGACGAACAGACTTGTTGGAAAGGTGGCATCCTGTGACGGTGCCACGTTGAAAGTCACTGAGCTCTTCAGTAAGGCCATTCTACTGCCAATGTTTGTCTATGGAGATTACATGGCTGTGTGCTCGAATTTATACACCTGTCAGCAACGGGTGTGGCTGAAATAGCCGAATCCACTAATTTGAAGAGGTGTCCACATACTGCTGTATATATAGTGTAAGTGGAAAATCATGTTAATGTTTTATTTGAGTCAACTATCCAAATAAGATCAGTTAATGCAAGTGCCTTAGTTTAGGTGAATGAAAGGTGACAGGCTACATACCAGTCAAGCTCTTGAGGGCGTATCCCTGCTGCAGGTCTGTGCTGAGAGTGGCCTCCTCCAGAGACAACAGGTTGGCTATTTCCTTGGTGATGAGGTTGCCGATGTAGGGCAGGACTCCTCGGGCGGCCAGGTACACCTTCCACTGAGGAGGCTTGATGAGCTTCTGGTACAGACCCAGATACTCTGCTGCACATTCCCCCGCGATGCTCAACTCATCCAGGTAACTGAAGGACAGACAAAACACTGTGATGCTCAACTCATCCAGGTAACTGAGGGACAGACAAACACTGTGATGCTCAACTCATCCAGGTAACTGAAGGACAGACAAACACTGTGATGCTCAACTCATCCAGGTAACTGAAGGACAGACAAACACTGTGATGCTCAACTCATCCAGGTAACTGAAGGACAGACAAATACGTGTTAGAAAAGCTGTTTGACATATAAGATGAGATATTATCCCAACATACAAAGCAAGCACTAAAAAATTAACCTTGTAAGGGTATTGATGCCTATATTTCACAGCAGATTCCATCTGGCCCAGCTACCAACATTAATAATATCCCGTATTAACCATCCAACTTAACTGACAGAATTCGCTCACATAGATGACAAATCCTTCTCAGTTATGTTTGGTGTCCCCCAAGGCTCTGTTCTGGGGCCACTAATCTTTTTCTGTACACTGAGTATACAAAATATTAAGAACACCTACTCTTTCCATGATCGTCTGACCAGGTGGAAGCTATGATCCCTTATTGATGTCACTTGTTAAATCCACATCAAATCAGTGTAGATGAAGGGGAGGAGACAGGTTAAAGAAGGATTTTTAAACCTTGAGACAATTGAGACATAGATTGTGTGTGTGCGCCATCCAAAGGGTGAATGGGCAAGACAAAACATTGAAGTTCCTTTGAACGGGGTATGGTAGTCGGTGCCAGGCTCCCCGGTTTGTGTCAAGAACTGCAACGCTGCTGGGTTTTTCACGCTCAACAGTTTCCCGTGTGTATCAAGAATGGTCCACCACCCAAAGGACATCCAGCAAACTTGACACAACCGTGGGAAGCATTGGAGTCAACATGGGGCCAGCATCCCTGTGGAACGCTTTCGAAAACAAAGTGTATATGCTACCTCTTGGCGACATCAGCCGTCAACATAGCGTCAATTTGAAACTTGAAAGCATCGTTTAACAGTGATACCTTTTCCAACCCAAAGAGGCCCCTTACCTGGTGAGCAGGTCCAGCACCTGCTGCTTGCGGCTGGGGATGGAGGTGAGGGCCTCAACGATGGTGCAGGCTGCCTGCCGCGCTGCCTGGGTGGCTGGGGTGAACAGCACCTGGGAGACAGAGGAGATTACAGCCGTAGAAATGTTAGCATGGAAGTGAAAAATGCTATAAAAAAGTGAGAGGAGTCCATCTGTTGTCTAGACCCAGCTACATGAGGCTCAGTCCCCATGTGGTCTCATTGAAAGGTGCAGCGTCTAATTTAACCATTCTGGAGGCCAAACCTTTTCAAATCTAAAAGCTGAATGGTGTGTATTGGTGGTGTACTGTTGCCTGGAGAAGTGGGTATACTCTAATTTTGCCCAAAACAATCCCAAACGTTCCGCCCGGCGAAGGAAAGGCGCCCTTCTGTGAAATTCTATGACAAACAGTGACATACACTCTGAATGTCTTTTCATTTCATTTCTAGCTGCCAGACATTATTCTAGTCACACAGCGACCCATGATAGTTGTTGCATCTTTAGAATATTTCCATCTCTGTCCATGAAACTTCTCGCGTGTGCAGTGTTCATTTTAGAACTGTGTTTTCCTGAAAATTGCAATTTTTGGAACATTTGCGCGTAGGCCTACTGCCGTGTGCACATTCCTGTGCTTATTACAAATGTGAAGAAATAATAGTTAAATCAACATTAAGCTAAACATTCTGACCTCCATAACACGACTGTGACACACATCGTGGGTATTAAGAAGTGAGTATACGCAATGCCCACAAAATAAAAAATTAAGTGGGTATATGGTACACTGGTGTGTACGTACCATAACCGAACAGTACCAGTAACAGTGTCCCTAACTAAAAAATATATAAATGGTGTAATAATATGCAACGCTGTAAGAGCAGTGGGGGTGTCCTTACCTGTCTGAGCCAGTTGTTGTGTCCCAGTTTGAGCAGCCTGGGGAACAGGCCCTCTGAGCGTGACCTCGTGAACTGTTTCCACTTCCACACATACTTCTCCATTAGGTAGCGTCTGCGCACCTCAGCCTTGTTCTGGGGCTTGGATACCGTCTCTTGGCCTGGGTGGGCAGAAAAAAAGGTCGTACACATTGTTTAAAGGGATAGTTTGCATACCGTTTAAAGCTCACCCAATATTTAAAAAAAAGGGAGAGTTCCTCCAAGTTCCATAATCAATGCACTCGCTTCAGCAATAACACTACCGTTCTTCTGTATACGCATCATGACTTACTTTCCACTAGATGCTACTGATTTTAAACCATAGACCTCTATATAATCAGTGACTGTATCCAACACACCACCATCGGTTGTTATGTTGGGCAACCTACTGATCAAAGAAAATATGTTATGAAATAAAATAAAAATCCCAATGACATGTATTAATAAAATAAAAGGTTTAAGGAAATACAGGCAGGCACCACATTACTACAAGACAAAACAGCTCAATCAAGCAGGATGGTCTTGTAACTATAAAAGCAGAGCTTGCTTGCATATAATTTTTAAAAGCTTGAAAAAGGGTAGTGGAATGGGCTTAGTGTGGTGTGTGAAGAATCCAATATTTGAACTTGTATGCGGTACAAATCACATTATTGTGAGAGCACCTCCTCTAAGAGTGTGAATCAGGCTGTTTGAGAAGGTTTGAATCCTGAGCAACCTGCCTAACAATGTTGAAGTACAATAAACCAACATAGCTACTGTAGTAGGTCAAAGCTGTGTGCTGGAAAACCTTAGTAGAGCATGGGTGGAGTAGGCATTCTGGTGCTCATGTGAATCTCCTTTATCCTCCAGCTTCAGACCAATCCCTACTTCTCACTTAAAACACCGTTTTTTGTTTTTAATTTCCATAGTTTTTACACCGGAAGGTGATTATACCAAATTAAATTACACAACATTTCCACATGCAAAAAGTGTCTTTCAAAAATGTAATTTGCGCTTCAAATGATGTTATTACGGTGTTTTGTCCAACATCATTTATTATCCAGGGCCCGGTTTCCCAAAAGCATCTCAAGGCTAAGTTCATCGTCAGAACCTTCGTAGGCGCATCGTTAAATCTCTGCGCTGTTTGGCAAAACCATCGTTACTAAAGTTGCACTTGAAAACACTTGTTATTTCCAGAGTGCCTCAGACCACTCGTAGAACAGCTAACTGGGTCGCTGGACGCTTTCTGCCCTTCAGAGTCACTTTATACACAGAAGATCTCAACACTGAACCAAGATGTTTATCTGTCTCTCTGTGACCGCCGATAACTTCAGAACGAAGTTGACTACAATACAACATTGCCAATGTCTTTGTAATTATTATAAACAAGGAAATGGTAAAAAGATACTTCAAAATGAAAACCAAGATGACTGCATTAAAAGATAAATGCAGTAGGCTACATAGGGCCGATATATTGGAACCACATTGAAATCAATTTCATGCTCAATCAATTGAGTTCTATTTTGCTAATTCTAGGCCACTGTCTAATTTTTGTCTCAATTTCATGACATGTAGGCCTAACAACATCTGCGCAGTGAAATATTCGATTTAGTGCATAGCCTAAGCATTAGAAGAATAAAGCCGCCTCAATATTAGCAGCCATAGGTGAACAGTTCTCTCTAGGACCTTGATCCGTCGTCAGTATCTAATGTTAAGGTAAGATATGAATGGAGAACGCTGATCGACACATGCTCTAACGACATACTTATTGAAAGTTCTCCCTACGCGGTGTTTAGGGAGTTCTTCGGCCGTTATAGAAAAGACGCATCGTTTAAAAAAAACACTCGTAAGCTTAAGTTTCATCGCTATCGGGGAAACCGGGCACTGGCTGTTACATCGTAGGCATGGCCATTTGCATTCATGCAAAACATATGGATTCTCCCTTTAAAGAGGGGAGGGGTTGAATATCAACAGCTGCTTTACAGTGGCTTGCGAAAGTATTCACCTCCCCTTTGCATTTTTCCTGTTTTGTTGCCTTACAACCTGGAATTAAAATGGATTTTTTGGGGGTTTGTATCATTTGATTTACACAACATGCCTACCACTTTCCCAGTGGTCCTCTGTAGCTCAGCTGGTAGAGCACGGCGCTTGTAACGCCAAGGTAGTGGGTTCGATCCCCGGGACCACCCATACACAAAAAATGTATGCACGCACGACTGTAAGTCGCTTGAAATATTTTTTATTGTGATACAAACAAGAAATAAGACAAAAAAACGGACAACTTGAGCGTGCATAACTATTCACCCCCCCAAAGTCAATACTTTGTAGAGCCACCATTTGCAGCAATTACAGCTGCAAGTCTCTTGGGGTATGTCTCCATAAGCTTGGCACATCTAGCCACTGGGATTTCTGCCCATTCTTCAAGGCAAAACTGCTCCAGCTCCTTCAAGTTGGATGGGTTCTGCTGGTGTACAGCAATCTTTAAGTCATACCACATATTCTCAATTGGATTGAGGTCTGGGCTTTGACTAGGCCATTCCAAGACATTTAAATGTTTCCCCTTAAACCACTCGAGTGTTACTTTAGCAGTATGCTTGGGGTCATTGTCCTGCTGGAAGGTGAACCTCCATCCCAGTCTCAAATCTCTGGAAGACTGAAACATTTCCCTGTATTTAGCACCATCCATCATTCCTTCAATTCTGACCAGTTTCCCAGTCCCTGCCGATGAAAAACATCCGCACAGCATGATGCTGCCACCACTATGCTTCACTGTTGGGATGGTGTTCTCGGGGTGGTGATGAGAAGAGTTGGGTTTGCGCCAGACATAGCGTTTTCCTTGTTGGCCGAAAAGCTCAATTTTAGTCTCATCTGACCAGAGTTCCTTCTTCCATATGTTTGGGGAGTCTCCCACATGCCTTTTGGCAAACACCAAACATGTTTGCTTATTTTTTTCTTTAAGCAATGGCTTTTTTCTGACCACTCTTCTGTAAAGCCCTATGGACAGATACTCCAATCTCCGCTGTGGAGCTTTGCAGCTCCTTCAGGGTTATCTTTGGTCTCTGTTGCCTCTCTGATTAATGCCCTCCTTGCCTGGTCTGTGAGTTTTGGTGGGCGGCACTCTCTTGGCAGGTTTGTTGTGGTAACATATTCTTTCCATTTTTTAATAATGGATTTAATGGTATCCGTGGGATGTTCAAAGTTTCGGATATGTTTTTAGAACCCAACCCTGATCTGTACTTCTCCACAAGTTTGTCCCTGACCTGTTTGGAGAGCTCCTTGATCTTCATGGTGCCGCTTGCTTGGTGGTGCCCCTTGCTTAGTGGTGTTGCAGACTCTGGGGCCTTTCAGAACAAGTGTATATATACACTGAGATAATGTGACAGATCATGTGACACTTAGATTGCAAACAGGTGGACTTTATTTAACTAATTATGTGACTTCTGAAGGTAATTGGTTGCACCATATTTTATTTAGGGGCTTCATAGCAAAGGGGGTGAATACATATGCACGCACCACTTTTCCATTATTTCTTTTTTAGAATGTTTTGAAACAAGTAATTTTTTTCACTTCACCAATTTGGACTAATTTGTGTATGTCCATTACATGAAATCCAAATATAAATCCATTTAAATTACAGGTTGTAATGCAACAAAATAGGAAAAACGCCAAGGGGGATGAATACTTTTGCAAGGCAAGAACATATCAGTTCCTGTATGTGACTCAAAGTACTGAATAAGTGAGTTCCCCCAGACCCCCTCCAGCTTTTTACTTGTTGATGGCTACTTCCCACTAAGGGGACCTACACCGACGTCTTCTGGGAAAAAAATTTGGTCCTTCGATACAAGTGACTTTTCGTTGCATGTTAGGAGAGCATTTTCGCTAATCCTAACCCTTTTCCTAACCTTAACCTAATTCTCCTAACCTGCTATGTTAATTCTCCTAACCTGTTATGTTAATTCTCCTAACCTGTTGCGTAAATTCTCCTAACCTGCTACAAAAAAACGTGTAGCTTTATCAAAAGGGGCGTGTTTTTATAGAATCTCGTCCATGGACGTTGATTTTTGGTCCAGTCTGGATCAAATCTGAACCCATATGGTTCAGGTTCTCTCGGATCCGGACTGGCCTTGATTTGGCCCAAACATAGACGTGTATAATTGGTGGCTGTCAAAACTATAAACAAAAGAATGGTTCAAATGTTTCCTCAGGGAGGCAAACCCGCAATCTTCAAATCCAAAGGCGGTAAAATTTGATTTGATTTGAAATCCACAGGTGGTAACTCTAACCATTACACTACGAACCCTGTTCTAAACAGATTGAACCTTTATTTCTCTTGCTTGGTTAAAAGACAATAGTCAAAAAAAAAAGTTGATTTGTTGACAACAGACTAATTTAATCACGTAGCTAACCAAGTTAGTAAGCATTTCATTATATTTTGACTGCACAAAGCAGGTCGCGCAAAGCAAGCAATCGTTCTAATGTTGTTTTACTAGGGTGCAGCACACTCTTTTCTGGGTACAAGTAACTTGTCTGAAATCTGGCTACCTCGTCTTACCGTAGCTTGGTCTATGGAGTAGCCTACCTAGCTAGTTGTTCAATGCCCATTGCATGCATTGTAAGGTAGCTAGCTAGCTGTGTGACAGTTTCCCAAAGTTTGGCATTGGCTTTGAACCTGCTCTGAACCTTTTTAGCTAGCTAGATATGGTTTTGTGGAAGAATGTAGCTAGGATATATTATCAACATTGAGTTGTGGTACAGTCTTGTTGGGGGTAACGTTGGCTACCTAACTAGCTAGTTTCGGTAGTAAATGTAAGCAAATGTATCTCATTGATTGTAGCTAGCACTAGCAGTGCAAATTAAATGTGAGCAGCATGGCAGTTTCCCAAAGTTTGGTGGATTTAAACTTTACGTAACCAACCTTAGCTAGCTAGCTACCTAACGTTAGCTAGCTATGTTTTGTGTAAGAAAGTATGATATATTGTGCTGGATGAACTGGCCGACCGGCGCGACTATAATATATATATATATATATATATTTTTTAAAATCACATCTACTCACATCTTGCTGGAAGGCACTTTTTCCAGGCTTCGTAAGATGCTTTGGGGTCCTTCTTAAGCCAGAGCTGGGCCTGAGCATGGATCTCATTGCAGTAGGGCTTCACTGTAGTCAGAGACTCCACAGCAGAATCCTGTAAACACAGAAACACCACGTTTCCTCAAAAATCGACTACATCGACTGACAAATCAAAATCACCTTAAATCCTAAAACGACTCTTCATTATAAAAATGTGTAGATCAGTCGCTCCGCAATCACAGACTGCAATGTGGTCTCTCTCAAACGCGCACCAAGCCGTTGCGAGGCAAGTATGACCTGACTGACTGGCGCTGTGTAGTGTCGTAATGTACCTTGTTCTTCTTGGAGGTGGGGGCAGGGGGCTTGATGAGTTTCTGTAGGATCCTGAGGCACATCAGAGTAATGTTCTCCACCACTACAGGAGTCTTGATGTTCACGGCCATCAGGAACAGATTCAGGGCTATAGACACAGAGAGAGACGGGGATTATTCATGAGATTATTAAAAAGGGGAAAAGGGATGAGAGGAGAGGAGAGGAGGTAAAAGCCCTCACCACATCGCAGTCGTAGCTCCCAGCAGCCCCCCTCCTTGGAGATGGAGTCGGTGAGCAGAAGCATCTCATACTGTAGACTGGAGACCAGGTCAGGGTTGGCCCAGTGGCCCTTCAGAGCAGCGGACACCTTGTGGATGATCAGGTCATTCATCTGCTGAGTGGCCTCTGGCTGGTCTCTGCAACGGGAGATGGAGACACAGATGAGAATGGGTTTACTGTGTGTAATGGAATGCCTAGGCTTCAGCTCAGAGGCCTAACACAGTCTTGTAGCACACAGACTACCCAGGTTTAACACTCGGTTGGGCATATGTACACTTATACGTGTATGCGCATGTGAGCTATGTGCATATGTTTGTAACGGATGTTTGTGGTTAGGTCTCCAAGCTAATGCGTACGCTTTAGCTCAGCAGGCTAACACCATCTATGTGAGCACAAACAACTACTGTACCTGGTGAGCAGGCAGACCAGTTGTCTGACCTCCTCCCTCATGGCAGCGGTGCCTCTCCTCAGGTTGTACTCAAACAGCTCTCGGATGAGCCCCTGGAGACCCAGGATCTGCCGCAGGGCTGGGTTGGTGGCCAGGGCCCTCAGGAGGATAATACAATGACCCGTCACGGCCGAGGCACAGCCGTAACACTTGTTGGAGGACGTGTGTCCGCAGCCTAGATAGATAGAACTTTGTTATTAGTCCACCCCATAATAAAAAAAAAAACACGCTCTCAATACTGGAAGTTGCTTTGGATAAACGCGTCTGCTACTTTGGCAAATGGGTCCCAAATGTGAAATTGATTTGCAGCAGTTTTAGAAATAATATGACAATAAACATAGTCTGCATCCCAAATCGCACTACTTTTAACCAAGGCCCGTGCACGATCGGTGATAGGGTGCCACAGTGGACGCACCACTGGATCACAATAAACAGCACACGAGTGACAGGAAACAGAGAACACCGAATAGCTCTATATACAAAGCTCACTGGAAGGGCTGGGAAGCATAACCAGTCAGGGTAAAGTAGTGTATGTTAAGTACTGTACCTAGCACAGAGAGGGCTCTGTACTGGCTGGCTGTGAAGGTAGGCTGATGGGAGCTGGAGCGAGAGGACTTGGTGGCGGCTTCACGCTGCTGCAGGTCGTACTCTAGCAGCTCTTTACGGGACGCCAGGACTTTCTGGAGGGGAAAGGGGGGGGGGGGGAATGGAGATTAGGAATGATAACTCTTTAAAATCATACAACATACTTGAATGTAGGACCTGCTGTTTGAACAGCTGTGAAGCTCCAAATAAATATAATTACTAAAAAAGAGGCATCCTCGTTCAGGTCAATGTTCCGTGATGGGTGAACTGGCTGACATATTGACCCATAACCAGGAAGTAAACTAGGAAGTACATGATTCAATTTGTGCTCATCACGTCCCCCCCGTCTCTCACCTGTATGATCTTGGAGAGCTCGTCGAAGGACGTCTTACAGTCTCCGCTGTACTCCTGGGCAAGCTGCTGGATGTACCTGTTCACATTGGCCGAGGACGCTCCAAGCCCCGCCCCTGCTCCAGAATCATCCTATAGGAGCACGACAACAGCGTCAAACATCAGATACTAGTTCAACACTTCCAGTAAAACAGCTCAATTCATCATGCTGTTTTACTTTATGATAAACACAGAATAAACCCTATGGAATAATGTCATACATCTGATAGGTTTCACTTGCAATGGTTGTAATATTTTGGTTGTTTTACCTACTCAAGTGAATGTACTCTGGATAAGAGAGTGTCTGCTAAATTACTGAAATGTGAATCTGTGGAGGTGTGAGTCGGATGAAGATCATGTACCGGAGGTTGGTATCTGACCTGGGGTTTCTCAGGTGCGGCCTCGTTGACCTTTGACAGCAGACTCTCCAGCTGGGGTCTGTGTCCCATTAGCTGGTGGTACACCCGGTCAGCCTTGTCCAGCAGCGCGTTGATGTTGGTCACCGCCTACACAGACAACACAAACAGCAGTCAGGTTTTTTGTTTTGTTTTCAACCAGTTGAAGTGGGAAAGAAGGTTGTATGTTTCTTGATACAGCAGTAACATGTACAGTAGATACAGAGGGATGAGACCAGGACAACAGAGGGATGAGACCAGGACAACAGAGGGATGAGACCAGGACAACAGAGGGATGAGACCAGGACAACAGAGGGATGAGACCAGGACAACAGAGGGATGAGACCAGGACAACAGAGGGATGAGACCAGGACAACAGAGGGATGAGACCAGGACAACAGAGGGATGAGACCAGGACAACAGAGGGATGAGACCAGGACAACAGAGGGATGAGACCAGGACAACAGAGGGATGAGACCAGGACAACAGAGGGATGAGACCAGGACAACAGAGGATGAGACCAGGACAACACAGGGATGAGACCAGGACAACAGAGAGATGAGACCAGGACAACAGAGGGATGAGACCAGGACAACAGAGGGATGAGACCAGGACAACAGAGGGATGAGACCAGGACAACAGAGGGATGAGACCAGGACAACAGAGGGATGAGACCAGGACAACAGAGGGATGAGACCAGGACAACAGAGGGATGAGACCAGGACAACAGAGGGATGAGACCAGGACAACAGAGGGATGAGACCAGGACAACAGAGGGATGAGACCAGGACAACAGAGGGATGAGACCAGGACAACAGAGGGATGAGACCAGGACAACAGAGGGATGAGACCAGGACAACAGAGGGATGAGACCATGGACAACAGAGGGATGAGACCAGGACAACAGAGGGATGAGACCAGGACAACAGAGGGAATGAGACCAGGACAACAGAGGGATGAGACCAGGACAACAGAGGGATGAGACCAGGACAACAGAGGGATTGAGACCAGGACAACAGAGGGATGAGACCAGTGACAACAGAGGGATGAGACCAGACAACAGAGGGATGAGACCAGGACAACAGAGGATGAGACCAGGACAACAGAGGGATGAGACCAGGACAACAGAGGGATGAGACCAGGACAACAGAGGGATGAGACCAGGACAACAGAGGGATGAGACCAGGACAACAGAGGGATGAGACCAGGACAACAGAGGGATGAGACCAGGACAACAGAGGGATGAGACCAGGACAACAGAGGGATGAGACCAGGACAACAGAGGGATGAGACCAGGAAAACAGAGAAAATCTGGAATGTTTTTTTAAACTGCGTGTCAGGGTTGGGGTTGAGAAAATAGCTAACCCCTGCCACGCATCACTAAGAGTTAGTTTGAGAAAGTCTGAAAGTAGTTTCTGAAAGTCACATAAAACAAAATGTCTTCACCTTCTTCCGGTCCTCCTCGGTCTCTATAGGGTCCACAGCACAGCAGGGCTTGGTGTACAACATGAGGTCAAAGCGGGCGTATTTACAGAAACCACAGGCGTTACACAGGAACGGGTCCTTCTCATCATAATTAATGGACCTGGAGGAGGAGGAGGAAGATGAAGACACACATTCAGTCAGCATCAGTGAACAAAACTACACCAAAACTAGGTGTCCCACTTTAAGACATGAAAAAAGTGTATACCCGATCGGACTAATCAGTAAGGACATTTCAATGATTCGGGTATATTCAGATCTGTCCCTATTCAAATAAGCCATAATATAACAAATTAAATATTTCAGGCATCGACGGGCTCAAGTCTTCTGGTTAGCTACCTGCACTTGTGGCACTGGTAGACGTTTTCTCCACAGTTGCCACAGACGCCAGGATTGGCGGGCACGGATGCAGAGCAGCGCGGGCACTGGAGCGTCTCGCTGGAGGCCTGGTAGTTCTCGTAGAAGTCGGAGAACTCGATCATGAGGTTGGACGCTACGATGGGCAGTGGCAGGTCGATCTTGACCTCTGTCTGACCCGGAGTCAGCTGGACCTTTTTGGCCTTGTGCCAACGGGCAGGTCTGGGTAGAGGCAGATAGAGGTACATTTATATATATTAAAGACGAAATATAAAATGACCACACTCTGCAGTTCCATTTAGACTGATTCAGTCCATACAGTATTAAGACAGAACTAGGGGTGGGAACGGTACATTGATAAAGCGCTCTCTGTTTCCAACATACAGCTGTCTGTCTGTGTTGTTGATCCGAATCTCATTGAATGGAACAAAAAAAATCTGCCGATAAATCCAATTTTAATATATTTGATGATCAACTATTGATAGTGTACCAATGTCGTTGTTGAAGACAGACGTATAAATACACTTAAAAAAGGAACAACAGATTAGCCTGGTCCCAAGATCTGTTCGTTCCGTCTTGCCAACTCCTACGGTCGTACAAAAAAATAAAAAACAGTTAAAAAGAACCGGGACCGGGCCAGCAACTGACTGCGTTCACGTTATTAAAACTCACTTGTTCTTCAGCTCTACGATGGCCTGCACGGTCCTGTTGTTGTAGTAGAGGTTGATGGTCCGGACCATCTTGGTCCTCTTCAGGTCTCCGATCTTGACCGTCACCTTACTGACGGTGTGACTGCTGATTAGCTTGACCACCTGCTGCGTGGTGGTGTACCTCGTGTCCACCTTGATGGACGACAGCTTGATGTTCTGAAGACACACACAGAGAGAGAAGACCGAATGAGTTTTGGATACATTGAAAACGTGGTCCTCTGTAGCTCAGCTGGTAGAGCGCGGCGCTTGTAAACGCCACGGGTAGTGGGTTCGATCCCTCGGGGACCACCCCATACACAAAAATCAAATGTATGCACGCATGACTGTAAGTCGCTTTGGATAAAAGCGTCTGCTAATATGGCATATTATAAAATGGGAAAGCTGTGCCTTCCCCATCAATGGAATTACCACACAAGGTTGATTTGATTCTCTGCGCTTCACCGAGAAGTGTGCACTTGATCACTCCCTCTCATGCATTTAATAGTAATGGATTGGTGCCAGCATGACCGAAGGGAGTTTCCCCCCCCACTTTACTTACACCAGTCCATTCTTTTTATATCCATGAGGGGAACTGTGCAAGTGCACACTTTTGGGGGGGGGGGTAAGTGTGGAGAATTGGGAAACACCATTAGGCGGTACTTACAGAGAAGGGCACTTCGGGGTTATTGCAGACCAGACACGGATCACTCTCCAGGTAGAAACCATCAAACTCCACCAGGCCAGACAGGGTACTGCAGCGTCAAAC